GATCGCAAAGATGCAAACGGATTTCAATTCGGAGAAAGTTGGACCAAAAAGTGTACCCCGACTGAGACCATATTAGTCCCAATCAGTGAAGAGTCGTAGCAATCAGACTAAATCAGCCGACCTTCCCATTTCGCCGATCGTGAGTCACCACTGACTCAACTCCATTAGCTCCTTCTTCTTCACCAATATATAAGGAAGATCTCTCTTCCTCATTTCTTCACCATTCTCCCTCAAATTTCTTCTAAGAGGTAGCCTTGAGTGTAAAGAGTGTTGTGGTGCTGTCAATTTGGTGTGGAATCGTCGGAGTTAAGAGATACCATCGCCGGAAGTTTCACCGGAAAATTTCCAAAACCTCCATTAAGCTTCGAGGTAAGCCCGTAGATATATCTAATGACTAGAATGTTCATATAGGTCGTTTCTACGTTCATAAATGGTCATTTGGTTGAGTTTTGTGTTTGACATGTTTGAAGAACCAAGAATCATAAACCTTAAATTTGATGTTAAAAATATGTTTTAATAATTCTAATATGATCTATGAACCTTGGAGAACATCTCTATATAGTTTAATTGAAGTTCGGTGACTAAAAATGGTTTTCCCGAAAAATGGACCGAGGTTGAAGACAAATGAACAGTGGTTGAAAATCCACAGAGTGGATCGATCCCCTTCATTGGATCGATCCTCTGGGAGTTTTTATTCTAGTTGGATCGATCCAGAGGGCTGGATCGATCTTCCGAAATTCTGGTCCGAAATTTTGTCTGAAATTGCTATTTTTGAGCTTTAAAATCCTATTTTTGATACCAATTGATTATGATTATTATAAAAATGATTTTTCATAACAAAAATGATGTTTTTAACAAATTTAAACATTACGTGATGCATGACGGTAAGTTCGGGTGTTAACACTCGAGACTAGGCCGCTAATTGTTATTAAATGTTATGTTAAATGATTATTATGATGAACTATTATTGTGGCCAATTATGAATGATTAACCTACTGGTGGGTATGATTAACTCATGATTAAACATGGATATAATGATGATTATGAAATTGCTGTATATTATTAAGGATATCTAGAAGAACTCTAAGATATACCCACTTGTATAATGATGATGATTATTAAGGATATCTAGAAGAAATCTAAGATATACCTCCTTGACCAATTCATATTTCGGGGTTAAAACGTACGTACGGGATCCAGACCGGATATCACCCACTCGACAAATCATTGTTCGGTTGGTACGTAATCCACATGACTCATAGGGTGGATTATCGATTCTTGTGTTCTGCATTAAACTATTTATAGTTTAAGGGCCTGGTTAGAAATGTTGCCTTAGACTAGGAATAGCTAAGAGCTTGTTATAAAATGATTTGGCCTTAGATTAAGAATAATTTAAGAGCATGGTTGAGATATTGAATATCAAATGACTTGAAATAAAATATTGAGAATATCATGAATGTTTGAATCATATACTGTGTGCATGATATCAAATGGTTGATTATGAATTGAGATTCAATTTATTTGGATGTTTGACGCTTTAG